TCACCCAGCAGCCCAGGACACAGAACGCTGGAAGAAGCCCACCGGACGTCCCCTTAGCACAGGGGATGTGGTGGCCCTTCCTTTGAAAGCTTACCCGTTGATCCTTAGCTCAAGTGGCTTTTTTTTTCCCCTCTGCTTTATAATCTGACTAAAACACTGAGCAGGTCTCGGTGAGCCGAGCGGGAGGAGCACGTGAGCATCACTCAGCAGGGAAAGGGCTGGGGAGCTCCGAGCCTTTGTGTTTCTCAGCGATTTGCTCAGTCTGCCTGCGTTAGGGAACCGCCAGATCTCATGCATTTTAAAATCTTCCCTCTCCGAGGGCAGGCCCCGGGTTAGCAGGTCAGCCCAGCTAGGTGAGCCGTTTAGAGCGCATTAAAACCACAATTTATGCAATCTGCACTCAAGTGTTAGGAAGAGCTGGCAATCAGGTGCTTAATAAAATCACCTACAGCCCTCCTCTTTTGGCTCGCTGGAAATAAATGCCTTTTGTACATGATAAAAATGGATTAGGAGTCATTTGGAGTTGTTATCCGGGCGTGGGGCACGCGGGCGTGCGGTGCCATTGGGGCAGTGCTGGGGGAGCGTTCCAACTGCCAGCACTGGAGCATCTCCCGTGTGCCTGAGCTGATTGGCAGCTCCACTCCTTCTTTTTGTTTCTGTTCCCGAATGGAACTGCAAAACAAAATTCAGTGTGGCTTGGAGAAAAAAAAAAGAAGTAAAATTATATGGAAATGTGACTTTTTTCTGACTCTTTTTTTTTTTTAATGTGGAAGAGTCAGAGATTTTAAAGTTATGGTTCCCACAGCAACTGTAACTCTCATCTCTTGTACCTCTGCGATGCTTTGCAGGACTGTGTGTGCTATTAGATTTATGCCCAATGTGTTTATGTACAGCATAGCAAGCAGCATGTAAAGATGCATGGGCTGGCAGAGCGATGCTGCAGGAACACCAGGGCCAGATCCTGCACTGACCTGTGCCATGGAAGCATGGAGTCACTGGGGGTGGAAAAGACCTCCGAGATCATCCAGTCCAGCTGTCCATCTACCCCCACCATTCCCCATGCCCACTGATCACATCTCTGGTGTGGTGATCCCACCACTCCCCGGGCAGCCTGTACCAGTGCATCACCACTTTTTCTGAGCAGAAATGTTTCCTAATATCCAATGTGAGCCTCCCCTGGCACCAGTGGGACAGGGGGTTTCTGATCCCAGGCTGTGCTGCATGCACTGAGTTTGGAGGGAATGGGGGTCCTGATGGAGCACAAGCCTCTGCCTGGTGGAATGATGTTCACAGGGTTTCCATCCTGCAGTTCGCCATCACTTTGAGTTAAATTAATTAGAAATTAGTTGGAATGACAGCTCAGCAAAAACCTGGTGCAAGTGTTTGCTGCACCTGATCCTTGAAGTTGCTTTATTACAGCTTTGGGCCTGGAGAGGTTTGGGCATCCAGGTGTGAAGTTGGTCTGTGCTGCAGCATCGTCCCTGCTTTGGTGCATCTGCATTGAGCTGGAATGGGGTGAAAAGGCTGGAAGAGACTGGGGTGGAAGAGGTGCTGGAGGGCTGCATAACTCGTGATGAAACATAGGAAGGACAAAGTGAGGAGATCATAGAATCATAGAATGGCTTGGGTTGGAAGGGACCCCAGGGATCATCATATTCCAACCCCCCTGGCAGAGGTAGGGCCATCAACTTCCAGATCTGGCACTAGAGCAGACTGCCCAGGGCTCATCCAACCTGGTCTTGAATACCTTCAGGGACAGATTGAAGGACCAGAAGGGGCTGTGGGGTCTTGTTGGACCTCAGGGCTTCCCTGGAGCCTTTTATTTCTCACCGGAGTAAAGCATAACTTTTCTGAAAGCATCCAGCATTGGTATTAAAAAAAAATCAAAATAAAACTTGACAGTGATGGATAATCCACTACAACCCGTGGTAAATAGTTCTAGTGTTTAATTACCTGTACTGTCAGAAAGGGAAGAAAGGAAAAACTACAGTGTGGAGAGCTTGGAAGGACTGCATGGCCATCACTTGGCTCACAGCACAGCCCCTGTATGGGGTCAAGAGTTGGTTTGGGGCAGTGCTTGGAGGGGCTCTCACTGTTGAAGGGGTGCTCAGCACTGTGGGAAGGTCCATGGGAGCTCATTGCCCTGCAGTCAGCAGTTCTGCAGCCCACATCATTTATAAAAGCAGAACCAGAGAGTGGTGGAGTCAACCATCCCTATAGGTGTTGAGCACATGTGGAGATGTGGCACTGAGGGATGCAGTTGGTGGGCATGGTGGGGTGGGTTGGTGGCTGGGCTGAATGATCTTACAGATCAGTTCCAACCTTAATGACTCTGTGACTTGGCAGGGTCTGCAGGTAGCTTCCCCCAGCAGTTTTCCTTTGGTGCTTACCGTATAAATCACACCCTTGCTGCTTTCCACCTTCACCTGAGCCGTATTCCTGTGTTTGACCGCAAAGTTTTGCAGTGCTGCCCATGCCCTCTCCTCCCTCATGCCACATCCTTAGCAGGACCAACCCCAGTCCCCTCTTTGCTGTGCTCCCACCACCATGGCTGTACACCTGGGATGTGTCCACGTCCCCGCAGTGTCCGGGGTGTCACAGCTGCATGCAACCCGGGGCTCTCGGGAGAGCAGTGGGGAGGAAGGACATTACGCAGGAGAATATGCATGTTCACAGCTCACAGGATTAAAGGCCCATGTTCTTATCACTGCAGAACAGAGTATTATAAATCCAGCCTTAGCATACCAAATCCCCTCGCGGCTCGGCCATTGTTTGGGAATATTAAAAAGCTCTGAGACAGAAATAATCAGTTTCCGAATGACACATTGTCAAATAAAACATTTCTCATATTATCCCTTCCTTCCCCTTTCTCTCTCCCGCTCCCTCAGTTGGATAATTTAACATGAAAAATAGATTAAAATGAGGCTGGTTTGAATGCCTCCTAAGTTTGACTTTTCTTTCCCCTGGAAGCTCTCCCTGCGTGTGCACGGCGCTCTGACAAGCGGCTGTGATGCGGGGTCAGGGATGTGGGCAGAGCATGAAACTGAGATGCTGCTGAACGCCAGGGATTGGCACAGTTCCTGGGCACGTGGACCTGACCCAGAGCCACCCAGCGTATAGCAGGGCTGTGAGGCTGAGCACGGGACAGCAAGTAGTGTGGCAGAGCCCCGCTGCATCCCATGTGCAAGCTGAATTGGGAAAGTCAAACTAAGCAATGTCATCCCAAATCCTCCAGCCAGGCTCCCATTAGTGTCAGTTAGTGGAGGCAGAGGGCAGAGCAGCAGGATCCTCCTGCAGTACTGTCCACTGCCACCACCAACACCATCCCCCTGCATCCCCTGAGCTCCATCCCCAGCACACTCACTTCCCACGCCGCCTCTTTACAGATGAGCCTCCCTCTGCACGGTGCAGTGCTTTGTATTGTGTGCAGAAGAAATATTTGCATGTCTTCACGCTGCTCTTGCATGCTCTGTAAAGTTCCCAGCTATGGCATTCTTTGTGCCAAACAGATGCCTGCCCTGCCCCAGCTGCTGCATGTCACGCTGCAAAGCATCAGCTGCTCACACTGCTCCTGATTTACGTGCTTTGCTCATCTGCTGTGGGGTAACATTGCTTTGATGCTGCAGAGAGATGGAGGGGCCCAAGGTGGGGGAATGCACAGCTCCTGCTGTGGTTGTGTTGGTCTCCAGAGCAGGCAGGGCTGCCCCATGGAGGAGGCCACTTCCATGGAGACGTTGGTATGAAGGAAGTTTGTGCTTTTAGGTAATGATCTATGATTTTGATCATAGAATCATAGAATCGTGTAAGATCACCATGTCCAACCCCAACCCACCCCCACCATGCCCTCTGACCACGTCCCTCAGTGTCACATCTCCAAGTGTGATGAACACTTTTAGCGATGGTGACCCTGCTGCCTCCCTGCAGAGCTTGTTCCAATACCTGACAACTCTTCTGAGACAAAATGTTTTCCTAATATCCAGGCCGAACCTCCCCAGCTTTCTTGCCTTTCTCTGGACGCACTCCAGGGCCTCAGTGTTCTTGTAGTAAAAGGCCCAAAACCGAACACAGCATTTGAGATGCAGTCCCACCAGTGCCAGTCACAGGACAATCACCTCCCTGTTCTGCTGGCTGCACTATTGCTGACAGGATGCCATTGGCTTTTTTGGCCACCTGGGCACGCTGCTGGCTCATTTAATTAGGAGGTGTGGGAAGAGAGAGCTTGGCATTGAAGGTTGTGGTCTGGGATAGGGTGTGTTGTGCCCCTGCATGTAGCCACAACAATTCACCCAAAGGGTTGGCATGGGGGGCTGCACTCTGCTGCAAGGGTGACTCTGGCAAAGCTCCCTAAACATGTGAGCAAGAGGGAAGTCTTTAATTCTAACACAATTGATGGGATCACAGTTGTTCTGGAGAGCTGAGGATTTGGGTGCAGGATGCAGCTGTGGGATGCTCCTCAGAGCAGCAGCATCCAGAGGAGCCATGCAGGGGCCCTGCTCCATGGCCTGCCAATGTTGCTGGGTGGCCTCATCCTCTAGTTCTCAGGAGAGGAGGAGGGCTGGCTCTGGGAACAATGAGTGGCTTGGTTCTCTGTGCCCTGGAGGGTGGCAGTTGGGTGATGCCATTTGGTACATGGTCTTTTGCACGAAATGCTGTGTCTCTGCGGAGACTTTATGGCTCCCTTGTTGGTTGCTGGGTTGTTTTAATGAGTTTTTTGTCTCCTGAGCAGTGAGATGCGGATGGGAGATCCTTTCCCATCTCCTTGTGCAGGGCAGGCTGGCTTGGTATCCATGTACATTGCCTGATAGGACCAAGGGGATGAGGAAAGAGTTCCTGGAGTGGGCAGAGCTGAGCTGGGGATGTCATTGGGGTGTTAAGGATCTCCTCCAGGACCCTGCCTGGAGTTGATTAAAGGATTTTGCGTATGAGGAGAGCGAGCGCTGGTGGATGCTGCTCCTCAGCCATCCCTGTGTCTGCTGACGTGTCTCTTTGCTGTCCCACAGGGTGGGCTGATCGCTCTGCTCCTGCTCCTCTTGGTCTTCACAGTGGCTCTGTACGCCCAGCGGCGCTGGCACAAGCGCCGCCGCATCCCGCAGAAGAGTGCCAGCACCGAGGCCACCCACGAGATCCACTACATCCCCTCTGTGCTGCTGGGCCCCCAGGCCCGAGAGAGCTTCCGCAACTCTCGCCTGCAGGCCCACAACTCGGTCATCGGCGTGCCCATCCGCGAGACCCCCATCCTGGATGACTACGAGGACGAGGAGGAGGAGGAGACGCCGCAGCGGGCAGAACCCAGCACCAGGGAGGATGAGTTTGGCAGCCAGGTGACGCGGACGCTGGAGAGCCTGGGCCGGGGTGGGGAGGAGAAGCCTGACTACGAGAAGAAAGGTTGGTGGCTGTTCTGCCTGATCTTCCCCTCACCCTGTGCCCTCAGAGCGTCTGAGCTGCAGGGGGCTTCCTGATGAGGAAGTCCTGGATCTGCTGGTTTGTCCTGAGCGTTCATCTTCCAGCTGATTCCATAAAACCATTGAATGGTTGGGTTGGAAGGGACCATACAACCACGCAGACCCCATCCCTGCCCCTCAGCTCAGGTTACCCCCCCCAGCTCTGGCTGCCCAGGGCCCCATCCACAGCTTTGGGCCCCTGCATGGAGCCCACTCTAAGCAGCAGTGCCGGGGCCTCACCGTCCTCTGAGTAAACCATTTCCTCCTGACATCTCACTTAAATCTCCCCTCTTTTAGTTTAAAGCCCTTCCTCCTTGTCCTGTCACCATCCACTCTCATAAACAGCCATTCCCCCTCCTGTTTATAAGCTCCCTTCAAGTGCTTGAAGGCTGCAGTGAGGTCTCCCCAAAGCCTTCTCTTCTCCAGATTGAACAGTTCCCATATCTGGGGTTGCCCCAGCCCACGTGCAGCACCTCACACTCAGCCTTGTTGTGCCTCATTAGGTTCCTGTGGGCTCACTTTTCAGGCTGTCTGTGCCCCTGTGGATGGCATCCCTTCCATTATATCAGCTATTACACACCACTCCGCTTGGTGACATCAGCAAACTTGCTGAGGGTGCCCTCAATCCCACTGTCTGTCTCATTGACACTGTGACTTCTGGAAGCACCCAGAAATGAGGAGTTGGCTAGGGAGCAGGAGGAGCATTTCCCCACCAAGGAGAGTTGCTCTTTTGCCATGGGTTTGTGCAGTGTTGCACGAAGCAGCACTGTCAGTCCCACTACTCCGTCAGTGCTGATGAGCATTTGTTCCCATTCAGTCTGTGCTCCAGGCTTCCAAGCAGCTTGGGGATGCTGGGATCCCTGCTGACTTCTTGCTGTAGGTGAGCACTGGCACATGGGCATCAATCAGCCTGGCTTTATTCTCTAGGTGGCAGAAATGCTCATTTCGTTGCTGTCAGGTAGTGCATCAATTCCAGCATAGAACATGTCAGTGGGGCCCTGCTGAGCAATGTTGCACCTCAGAGAGCTGCTCCACAACGCTGCGTTTTCCAGGGGCACCAAAACATTCCCTGTGTTTTATTCTATGAGCCATCAGGCAATGATCCTGGAGTTCTTAGGGTGCCGGAATGGGTTGGAGCTCAGGTCCCTTTGGGCTTCCCCTCCAGGTAAGGCAGTGTGGTGCTGGGGTTGGGTGCAGCAGGACAGACAGACAGGGAGCTGTGTGCCATGGGCTCCTGCCTGGAGAAGAGCAGCGCTTTCCCCAGCGTGTCTGGGCTAATGCAGATTTGATTGCTTGCTTTTTTAAAGTCTGTCTCTGGGAAAGTGTATCGCCCACCTCCGCTTATTGAAATATCATTAGAAGCAGTTTGATGTAGTTAACCTGCAACGTGGTGAAATGCGTTGGAATAAACAAAAGCGAAGCGCGTTGGTGCTAATTGCTGAGCGACTGCAGCAGGAGTGGGGATGGGCACAGGGAAGTGGTTCTGCTTTCTGCTCACAGTGTGCATCCATCCTTGGGAGCGTGTCCTGCTCCTGTGCTGTCCCCATTGGGTAGCAGAGATGGGGACAGGGACCCCAGAGCTTGGCTCCTGGAAAGCAGCCCCACACACATGGCATTGGAGGCTGCTCCTTACAGCTCTTTCCCCCTTCCTCTTCCAGGCAGGGCTGTTACAGCAGTGATGGTTATAGCTCCAACAACCCAGGGATCCTCCTGATGTCCTCACGCACTGCTCGGAGCATCCCTGTTGGCGTCCTCCTTTGTGGCTCTCATCGGCTCGTGGGGTTAAGAGGTGCTCCCCCAACCCTCTGCACGGTGAGAGCGAACAAATGAAGGCCTTCATGTACTGTAACTGAGCTGCCTCTTTTATTCTTTCATATTCTCTTCTTTGTTTTGCTTTTCTATAAATTATTTAGAGTTGTGTGAGAGGGGGAGACAGCAGTAACTGCATTTCAGTGCTCTTCAAAACATAATAGTAAACAAGATCTAGGGCAGAATATTAAACTATCTCAGGGCTTCAGGAATTGGCAATAAAGTAATTCTTGTGCTGTATGCAGAAGACCCAAACCAGGGCTGTGGGCTGGGACAGGCTGCCCTAGGCCTGCTGCTATCCATGCAGTGCTGAGTTCTCCCATCAGGACACCATCATGCGTTACACCTGGACTTGAGGAGAGATTTTAGTGAGATACTGGGAGGAAATGTTCTACTCAGAGGGCGGTGAGGCCCTGGCACTGCTGCCCAGAGCTGTGGGTGGCATCCCTGGAGGTACCCAAGGCTGTGGATGGGCCCTAGGCAGCCTGAGCTGGGGGGCAGTGAGCCCATGGCAGGGGTTGGGACTGGGTGATATTTAAGTTGTCTTATATTTAAGTTCTCTTCCAACCCATCCTCTCTGTGGTGCTATTCATGTGCTTTGTACTCAGCCCTCCAGCTGCTTTGCACGTGCCTGGGAGCAGCACAAATTCAGGATGTGTCAGATGTACCATGGATGTGCTGCCTGCCAGCAGGCAGTGGGTGCAGTTGGGCTTCCCTGGGGATGTGCAGGTGGGATGTTGCAGATAACATGTGCCCACCGATCCCCAGGGGGAAATCAGGGCTGTTGAGGCACAGTTTCACAGGTGGCTTTGAGATGGATGTGGCAAGGGAGTCCCAGCTGGGGCCTGGCCCGGGGCTGCATTTGTATGGGTGCAGCAGGTTTGGCTGCGGAGCTGTGCCTGTGAGCCTGGCAGCGCCCAAGGGAGAAGCTGCGTGTGGTGCCTAATGTGGTGATAAGACATCAGCTGGGACTTGTCAGCAGGCTCCAAATGCTATCATTGCTGGGGCTGTCACCAAAGACTCTTTCAAGTGTCAGTTCCCGACGTTAATTACCAGGGATGGCAAATGCAATGAAGATGGAGTGCCTCGCCTCGCCCTCACCTGCCTGTGCCACTCGCTTCTCCCACGTGCCGGGCAGTGATTGATTTGCAGGTGCTGGTGCTTTCCATCCCTTGGGATTCCTGCACGCTCAGTTGCCCTTGCCACACAGAGGAGTGCTGTGCTCCCTGCTGGATGGTCAACTCTGTGATGTTACAGCCCTGAGGAATGGGTGCGGAGCAGCCGGTGGATCCCACAGCACAGATATCTGCTGTGCTGAGTGTGGGTGCAGCCAGTGCAAACACGCAGCACCAAATGTCCCCCTGCCTGCTCAGGCGATGCGCTGCAGCTGGCACAGCGCAAACAAACACGGGAGCAGTGTGCTGAATAATGACATCTAGCAACAAGCGTGTAGCAGTGATAAAGTTAATGAAATTACAGGTTCTGACCTGATACCAGGCTCTGCAGCGGGTTGATAAACAGCAGGGCAAAGATGAGATGTTTATTTCTCCCCAGCTGCAGCCTGTAATCTGGATGCACTGAGCGGGGACATTAACATTATTGCTGTTATGCAAAATCATTTTTGATTTGGGGGGGAAAAAAAAAAAAAAAAAAAAAAAGTAGAAAGAAAAATTCCCCCAACTGCCTGGAAAATGGAAAACTGACAGAATGAGAATTGCAGTAGGAGCACAAAGTGACCTCGTGACATTGCACAGAGCCCTGATGAATTTAGACAGAAGAAAAATCTAAGGCAGTTTAGGAAGAGGGAAAGTAGTTTTTTTTATTAACATATTAATATGAGGGAGAGAGAGGGCAATAGGCAGCTCTAATTAGCTGAAAGGAAGCCTGTGTGCTGGCATGGAAAGGGAGCTGTGTGGTCTCCCTGCAGTTTTGGGGTTGTCTATGGCACCTGGCTGGAACCAAGTGATCTTCGAGGTCTTTTCCAATCCAAGGCATTCTGTGATTCTGTGAATTAGAACCTTGGGGTTTGTACCTCCTGGATAGCATGTGTCCAAACCCACGTGTCCAAACCAGCCCCATGTGGACGAACGTGGATAGAGCCCAGCAAGTGTGGCTGTGGGGTTGTCCTGGATTCCCTGGGCCCTCTGTGGGGAGGGATGCCAGTGATGGGCCATGGGGAGGAGACTTTGCCTTACCAGGATCAGGGGCAGTGAGAGCCCAAGATCCTGCCTGGTGAAATCTGGGCAGTGCTGGCTGCCAGCAGTGCTGGTGCTCAGTGCCGTGATGGATCAGAGGTGTGGTCATGACACCATCCTGAACCTACAGCTCGAGGCCTTTCTTTTAACCTGCTGCAGTAACGTGATAGATCTCTGACATTTCCCTTCCTTAATCCATGGAGACCCAATCCAGGTTGAGTGCTGTGGGGCCTTGGAGATGAGTTTAAAGACAGGGACTGAACTGGAGGTGATGCCCATGGGACCAGGACCAGGACATTGCTCTCCATGGTGTGGATTGCCCCGTGGTGCTCACCCCACCACCATAGGGCTGAGGGCTGGAGGTTTGCTCCTGCTGGCAACTGTAAAGCTCTGCGAGTCATGGCTCTACCAGAGGCTTCCTGAGCCTTCAATGAATAAAATGATGGCTTACCATTAGCTGGAGCTGGGAACAAAAAGGAATGGTACATCAGACTGGTATCTGATGCATCCAGTCTTCTTTTCAGTGACCTAATGGGATCGTGACCCTCTCTGTATTTGATCAGCTTTTCCCAGATCTCATCCCCGCCAGCTCCTTGCGTAATTTACAGAGACCTTTGACAAATGTGTATTCACGCAGGCTGTGTGGCCACGGTGCAGAAGATTTTCTGCACTCTGCTCATTCCTGGCTGCAAAAAAAAAACAACCCAAAAAACAAAAACCCACTGCAAATTCCAGTTCAGAAAAACTCAACATATATGGGGCCCAACAGGGTAGGAAATGGGTACCAATTCAGGAGAGCATTTTGTCATGTGCTTAGCCAGCATCTCCTGTTATCAGAGCAATTAAGCATGTCTTTAAGTGCAGCGTGCTTAATTCTGCTTGATTTGAGTGGATTGCTGAAGAGAAATGGAGAGAATGGGCGACCCAGTTGCAGAGGTGG